CCTCCTGGGATGTTGCTTGAGTGTCCCTGCCTGCTCGCCTGGGCTGATGTAAGCTGGTTCCAGCCCTCCCTCTCCCCTCCCCCCACCCACCCAATGGGCGAATGTCTGTGGGGCCAGGCAGGGGGGAGGGTTATCTTTATGTAAAGTGCCATGAGTTAAAGTGGGGTCCTAATGTCTGTCTGCACCAGGTGCGGCTGGTGAACTCAGACTGGTAGGGCGGTGGAGTGTCCCACCCGGCGGGGGGGGGCGGTTGTTTTTGTTGTTGCAGCTGGCCAGGCACTTTGGCTAGTAGCAGGGAGGCTGCAAACGCCGCTGCTCCCAGCTGGCTGCAACCATCCCCCACCTCCCTCACCCATGGGATGCTCCACTGCCCCACCAGTCTGAGTTCACCAGCAACACCTGGTCTGCGCCCTGTGGTACTGATGATGTGCTCAGTGAAATCTGAACAAGGAACTGAGTCTGCAACAGTTAACTCCTTGGCTTAACTGACCACCTTATTCTCCACACATGTATGCTTCTCAGTACAATCTGTAGTGAATTATATTTAAAGATCTATTTCCATTAACAAACTTTTAATTGCTCCTTGAGTGGTTGCTTTAAGACAGTTTTCATAGTACTAATGTTAAGTTTTCTTTATTACTTGTTTATTAATATTAGTTGTGATTTCCTTGTTAATTTTAATTATTACTTCAAAGAAATTAAAATTTTCTGTTCTAGTGCAACTTCCTGTTTTCTTTTGGTTGTTCCATGGCTGCCTTTGTAGCCATAGTGTATTGTTGTGGAATTATTGGTGTTTTGAAGGTGCAGTACTCAGAGTGACAATTCTTTTTTTTTTCTTTTCTTTTTTTCCCTTTCTCAATTTTAGGTAAGAACACGTCTTTCACTGGTTTTGCCTTTTATGGATTCCTCAGTTGGTAAAGTATTAACCTATTTTTGTTCAAAGTGCTGAATTGTATATTTTTAAACTTTTCAAAGCACTATTCTTCAGTGGGGCCATCCTTAATAATGGTGTTGGGTTCTCTGTATCGTAGCAAAACATGAAAGACAAGATGAATGCTAAGTAAACAGAATCATAGAAAAGCAAGACTGGAAGGGACTTCTAGAGGTCATCTAGTCTAGGGGTGGGCAGTTATTTGGGCTGGAGGGCCACTTAGAGAGTTAAGGTGAGCTGTCACAAGTCGGGTCAGTCCCCCACCCCTGCCCCCACCCACAACAGCTCACCAACATTCCTTAAGTGGCTTTTCCCTGCACTCAGCCAGGCAGATGGATGGGGCTGTGGACAGGTGGGGAGCAGCAACTGGGAGTGGGACAGGTGGGTAGGGCCAGGGCACCTGAGGAGGGTGCAGGGCTTGGGGCAAATCAGTTTGTGCAGGGACCTGCCCCTGCCCCAATCCTGCATGGCCTGGATGCAAAGAAGCCGCTGCCACCACTGCCATTGGCAGCGGGACTGGGGCGGGGGGAGGGAGGGGAGGAGCAAGTGGTCAGATGCGAAGCCGGTGGCAGCTCAGACTCACCACGACTACTCCTCCGGGCTCCACGGGGTCCCCCAAAGTGCGGGGCCCAGGGCAGTTGCCCCGATTCGCCCCTCCCAGGGACGGCCCTGGCTGCCGCTGGCCACAGGTGACAGCACCTGGCTCCTGTCAGCTGGCAGGCAGATCGGGGGCCACCAACACACCCGGGAGGGCTGCAGGGGCTGTGCTCCCGGGGGTGTGTGCCCCTGAGCTGCCTACTGGATGACAGGAGCCGGGTGCTGCTGGCTGGGACCAGCAGCAGCACCAATCTTCCTGGCACTGGGTGTGGGCTGTGCCCAGTGCCAGTCTGTCATCTCGCAGGCAGATTGGGGGCCCGCACCTCCGGGAGGAGTCCAGCACAGCCCCCCACAGGCCTCCCGGGGGTGCAGGCGAGTCCCCCATCTGCCTGCCGGATGACAGGAGGTGTGTGCGCCCAGCTGGGACTGGCACTGAAGGCAGTAAGCCTGGCTTCAAAACTCTAAACAATCTGAAACTTTTGAAATGTTTTGAGTTCCCTTGTTTTGTTTCAAAGGCTTTTGTTTCATTTTGATTTCACTGTTTTGAGCTCAGAATGCATGGAAACAGCTTCAGGATGAAATGCAGGGCAAAATTTTGCACAGCCTTGCTTGTTAGCAGTCTAATTTTTTTGTGAAGACTGAGGCAAACGAGTTATTGAGCAGATATGCTCTTTTGCATCTTCTGCTAAAGAATTTGCCCTAGTTATTTAATAGCAGACCCATAGCTTTCTTAGTCTTTTAGTCAGGGCAAAATATCCATAGAATCTTTTCTTATTGTTAAGGGCATGTGAAATGGGACCTATTTGATTCGGATTAGTATTAGTATTTGGCCCGACTCAGGGACAATGATTTGATTCATTGTTTTGGATCACTGTCCCTGATTCGATCCAGCCGAATCTGAATCTGAAGATTAGATGCTGATTTGGAGAATCAGACATAGCTTTAAATATTTTTTCTACATACCTCAAGGTACCAGCATAGCTTGTGAACGCTGCGATTCTGGGGTGGATGGAGTGTCCCACAGGAGTTGTGGGGGGGCCCTCCACATGCTAGGCAGCGAACCCGGAAGCAGACCCGAAGTACTTTCTCTGGGGAGCATGCATAGGGGCCCCGCTGAGGCCCCCTGTGGCCACCCTCCAGACCCAGGAGGCACCACACTCCCTGGTGGACCCAGAAGTGGACGAGAAGTGCTTCTGGTGCACTTCCTGGGTCTGCTGCTGAGTGTGCTATGGAGCCCTCTGCGCTTCTATGGAACACTTCATTTGCCCTAGCATCACAACATTCACGAGCTGCCTGCTACGTAGAGGTATGTAGAAAAAACATTTAAAGCTGTGTCTATCTTTGAATCTCTGAATCTTTCTGAATCTCTCCGAGACTAGGAAAGATTGCAGATAGCTGGTAAAGTGAGGATGTAGCTTGTTTAGACCCGAATTCAGTAAGGCATTGAACCACATGTATAACTTTAATTTAGGGGTGTCAAACTCAACTCTTACTTGGCCCCTGTTGCCAATGACTATGTCCATCGTGGCCCTAGGCCCCCATATTCTGTGGCAGGCAATGCCACGAACCTTTGCCAACCTTTCAATAGCCTGCCAGAGTATCAGCAGGCAAGATGGGATGGTTCTGGAAGATGGATCCAACCCTTGGACTATGTGTTAGACATCCCTGCTCCAAGGATTTATCAAGTATGGCACCGTTCATTCTTAAAGTTAAGTGCACATTTAAAGATTTTACTGAATCATAAAACCAAAGGCTACAAGAGTAAGATTTCATACTCCTACCATTTCAAACAGAGGAGTCTAATAAGTCTTACTGTTTAACCATGGAAAGAACTCCTCTGATGTATTTTTTCCATGGCCAAAATTGACCCAAGATTTAGAAACTGTACATTATGATGATACCATCCCAGGAAAAAGACTATTCATTTAGAAGTTGCCACTGGTCCTGCTGGTTGAAAGAGAATTAGTATATTGTGAACAGTAATGCAACTATAAATACAACTTCCTGTGTGTTGGGCATATTTGCCAATGGCTGGAAACTTTAGAAAAGAGATCTTGTCCAGTTACAATTCACAATTAATTTATGGAAATGGACTTTTGGCTGAGAACAGCAGACCATTTTGTTTTTGCCAAGCATACTATACATTGGTATGTATTGTTGTAGTACTGTCATTGATTTTTCTAGATGTATGTAGTTTTAAATAATCAGTGAGAGGCCCAGGCATGAGGTAATGTTGGAAATAGACATTTTAAATTCTGTAATTCTTAATAAAGAATTATGGAAACACTGATATTGCTATCTACTTGGTCAAAACTGTGCGTCACTTGAACACTATGTAGCTGTTTGCATCTGAGGCAAGTAAAAACTCGTTTTTTTCTAAATTACTGTATATCATATATACCTCTGGACTTTGTTTTTAGAGGACTAAAACAAAAATAAGGAAATAATGTAATTGCTACTGGGAAATGCTCTTACTTTATACTGTGGTGTTCTAAATTACCATGGTATTATAAGTATGAAAGAACCATTATGATAATCTGGTTAGACCTTCTTTGTAATGCAGGCCCAAAAGCCTTGCTCACTAATCAGAAGTTTATTTATGTCTTTGGAATTTTGCCTTAGCACTCCAATAAAATCAAAGTGGATTACGTGGCTCAATTATTGATCTTGATGAAGACAGTGATGTGCTTAGTTATTACCTTTCTACCTGTCAAATAGTTTTATGGTGTTTTCAAGTTGACTGTATGGAGTTTGAGACAAGTTTTGAGACAAGTTTTTGAGACAAGTCCCAGTGCAGTCACCCAACAGAAGCACATGCATTTTAGGAGGAGGAGATAAAGGCACACCCTAAATTAGGCTGCATCCAAAATCCTTCTGTTTGATTTTTCTATGGCCATTGCTGACCTGGCAACACCTCACACTCAGCTCACTCATATTTGATTATGATTTTCTGTAAACTGTGCTGAATTAGCTGTTAGATGGCTTGCCATCTAGTTCATTTTGTCCTGGCTTTCTGTTAGTACAGGAAGAATGGAGGTGATCCTCTGAAGAGTCATAGGACATTTGGGGTTGGGGGTAGAGCTGATCTTTTTCCTGAATTATGACATAATCTTACTGGATGCAATCTGTATAAAAAGAAATCCAGATTTTACAGAGTGAGATAGATAGATGTTCATTCTTCTTCTTTGAGTGATGCCCTGTGACTTGAAGCAACCATTTTCCATCAAAAAGGACTTTTTCTATTGTCATGTGGTTCACAACCTGAAATTTAACAAAAAAAAAGCAGAATCCAAACCCTTTACATTAAACTGTTATCTTACAAATGTTATAAATGTTTTGCTGCTTTGCTTTGAATGACTTTGTCTTATCACCTTGATTTTGTACAGTTTTATTCTACTTTTATGTAGAAGGGGTTAAACCTATACATAGATTACGTAATTTGTTCTCTAGTGCTTATAATTTCTAGAATATGCATTTTTTGCCAGAAACATGACTCAAAAGATCAATAGCAAGCAATCTGTACAAGTTTACTCAAGGGAACAAAATATTTCATTCTCTAAGCACTGGGTTTTGAAAGCACATATTATGAAAATATGTACTGCAGAAGGGAGGTCATCGTTTTTAAACTTCTCAGTTGATTGCTGAAATACTTTTAAGTGTGGGAAATTCTGGATTTTGTTGGAAAATCTTTTCTCTTGTTTTCTTGTGATCTTTTGAGTAGTACTTCTCTATTTTAGAAATCATTCTTTATGCTGCTGTCCACAGAGGTAGTCATTTGAAAAAGAGATTTACTTTGCAAACAAGTTCATGACACAGACAAGCAGCATAACTGTGGGTGAGCAAGTGGGGCACCAAGTTGTAGTGGCAACAGTTCCAAGTGTGAAGAGAGATTGCCCTGTGGTGGCAGGACAGCAGGTGAAGTCTTCTGAATCTCTAAGAAGTCTCTCCTCTGCTGAGTACCTCCCTCCCCACATGCAGGGTGCCAAAAATCACAGTTATGCATTTGGACAGAGAAGTTTTAGATTACATTCCAAGAAAGTCATCCATGGTTCTTTGAATTGCTTTTTGGATTACCTGAAGGAGTAGTGCTAAGATTACATTATTGATAAGGATGAAAGAACATCCTTTATATCAAGCAAAGAAGCAGGAGGACAGATGTTGGCAAAATGGTTGACAATTTATGTACTATGCCATATCACAGGTTGGATTTTTCCCGCTTTAGGAGAAGGCAAACTTCATGGGACTGCACATGCAATGGAAATCATCCCTCATAAACCAAAAAATCCTTTTCAAGATCCAAAACAATACCCTCTGTCTTCAATCTGACCCCCAACTTCCTGACCATTCATAAACTGCCAGTAGGAAAGGAGATTGCAACCACAAGCA